CCTACTTTTGCTACTACTACTACTACTACTACTACTACTACTACTACTAGTAGTACTAGTATTAGTACTAGTACTAGTACTAGTACTAGTACTAGTACTAGTACTAGTACTGCTGCTGCTGCTGCTGCTGCTGCTGCTGCTGCTGCTGCTGCTGCTGCTGCTGCTACAAATCGGTTTCACTATGGGTGCGATTCCGATTGCGACAACTTGTGCGACGTCTGCTCTTGGGTTTATGGCACCGCCTAAACCCTAAACCCGAAACCTTGAACCCTAAGCCCTCGGCCCTTATCCCTATATCCCCATAGTCCGAAGCTCAAACACCGAAATTCAGAGCGCTTGGCTCGTGCAGGCAGGAAGCCTTGGGTCACAAGCTTCGGGTTCTTGAAGCTCGGAGACCTTGGATGAAGTCGAAGTGAGGAAATCGTGGTTCTGGTCAGGGAGAATTTGAGAGGGTTTTTGAATAGGAGTGCTTCAAGTTTCAGCCCGGAACTCCCTGATACGTCGAAGTTGATGCCTCCAGGGTTGCTTGTAAGTTGTTCACGGTCTTTAGCTGCACTTGCCGATCGTGTTGCTGTCTGCCTGCAATTTTCGCCTGCCCAGCATGTACGATGAGTGATACTGTCGATACGCTGTGGCAACCAAGGAAAAAGTGGGATATGTACCGCTACTTCGCCGCAAGATACGAAGTGTTGACCGGCCAGCCGTCGAGAAAGCGCACTCTGGCGTCCTTTCTTGCGGATTTTAAGTTCGACTCCTTCGCCGCTGCTGTTGCAGAGACAGGCTTCGAGGGATTGGGGTCCAAGTAGCCCCGGACAATCCGAAACGTGAAACCCTGAGCCCCAAACCGAAAGCCTCAATCCCTCTCCCTGAACCGTACATCCTGAACCCGAAGCAATCCCTGTCCCTGAACCCAGCTATATCTCTCAGAAGTGCGAGTAGGATGACAGCTAGCGCATGGAAGTGCTAAGAATCATGGCCCTAAACCCTGAACCCTCAACCCTGAGCCCCAATCCTCCGACGCGAAGCCCTGAACCCGAAAAAAACACAAAAAACCGTCACCTCATGGAGTTCGATCCTTTCGGGCCCCCAAAGCAGGTATGGGGCCGATCGCATGTGCCACGCTCTCTGGAGATGCAGAGATGATTTCCTTCTTCAGCCAAGCGAAGGCTTTGAGCAACCCCCTGAGGCTCGGCTTCGGGTTGTAATAGGGTTTGTAGGTTTTTTTTTTGGCTGTTAGGGTCTACAGGGTTTACGGGGTTTTGGTTTGGGGCTTTAAAGGATTATGGGGCTTAAAGTTTAGGGTCTAGGGGACGGAGGATCTGCTGTGTTGGGTGAGAGGGTTGCAGGAGTGGCTGCAGCAAGGGGGGTACTGACATGCCGTCCATGTTTTTGGTTCATCCGGTGAAGTTTTGTATTCTGTGAACTGAGGGTTCCAGGTTGTGGGGCTTAGCTCCTTATGGTTGTTAGTCTTCGGGCCTGCATGGCGCACTGCTTACTCAGGCTAGGCGGTCTATGGTTTTCCCAAATCTTCCTCGCGGGTTCTAGCGCCTACACCCCTAACCTCTAAACCCTACATCGAAAAAAGCTTGAGGGACCGATCTTCTGGGTGGACCCTCACCAGAAATGCCATTGGTCTGCGGGCTTGTCTTGCTCCCGGAAACGGTTGTTCCAAGAACCCCGCGATTGGTCAATATGCGAGTCGTTTGGAGTTGTAAGGGGTGTCGTTAAGCACATTCTCATTGCTAACGCTGTCCTGTTTCGTGTGCCCGATGCCGTAGTTTTCGACACATACAGCTTTATGACAGGGGAACTGTTGAACTTGTTATCGTTGGCGGAGCGTTGCTGGCTGTCCAAGGAAAGTGCACGAGTAATTTCTACTTTTGTCGACCAAGACATAATTTGGTGCTTTCAATGCTGATGTCGTCGTCCGTAATGCTGCAGGCAATCGAACTGGCGGCACGGTTATCGTCCATGGTAGTGTTATTGCACACGTTTCAGCTGCTATTGTGTCCTTGTTGTAGTAAATCTCATACTCGTAACCTATAGAACCCCTTAAGTATCGCCTAGTGGCTCTTCTGGTGCCCCTTATAAGAACCGTAGGTCGCATTGACCCAAGGAAGGGGCTGCTGGAGGTTGGGATCCCGAACGGCTACACGCCAATCTACTTGGCAGTACGCTATGCCTGGCACTGCCCCGAAGTCTTACAGAGCCTTCTGGAGACCAAGGCACCACCCTAAACACCAAACCCCCAAAACCCTAAAGTCTTAATTTAGCCTCAACCCTGAACCCTAAACCCTAAACCCTAAACCCTGAACCTTAAACCCTAAGCCCTAAACCTTAAACCCTAAACCCAAGGCAAACCCGGATGCCCTTGACATGCCCGGAATCCCGGTCTTGGCCTTGTGCGTCACTGTCCGGGATGTTGTGACCTTGGTAGAGAACCGAGCCGATGTGAACAAGCGGTCCGCTTACATCAAGGTACCCCACCCACTGCATGGCTGGTGTTTGGTTTTAGGGTTTTAGGGTTTAGGCATTTAGGGACCTATAGTCTCCATTGTAGTTCTTTTTAGGTGTTACTTTAAAGGATCCTACATATCTATAATATTAACCACAGAAAAGAGCTGTTAAAAGGGTTTTGAGCTTTTTCGGGTTTCCTACATCAAGGTACCCATCCTCAGCTTGGCGTGCAACGCCTGTGCACCTTTGGGGGTCGTCGCCAAGCTCCTTGAAATGGGAGCCCACGTGAATCCGGCGGCCGTGGGCGGACGCTCGGCCCTCCAGAGGCTCTCTCAAAGGTTTAGGGTTTAGGGTTTAGGGTTTAGGGTTTAGGGTTTAGGGTTTAGGGTTTAGGGTTTAGTATCTCCTACATCGAAGATGTCCGATGACTTGCCTCTCAAGTTCTGAGGGCCCATGTTAGGGCAATTGTTGGCGCCCGCACTGTTTGAGGCCAGACAGCTGCTGATATTGGCCGAAACACTACACAACACCTGAGACTCTGTCCTGTCCTGTCCTATCCTGTCCTGTCCTATCCTTACCTAAACCGTACTTATTTGGCTACCCTAAACCCTAGACCCTAAACCCTAACCCATCCCAGGATTCGGCACCGCCCATCCCTTCGCACACCTCGCCCTTACTTCGGCTGTGAACCCCCACTGCTTGGAGGTGGGGAGTTGGTTTGAGGACAACATGATTTCGGAGTTAAGCCACAGGATTCGGGGTTTCGGGTTTAGGTAAGAGTTTGGGGTTTGGGGTTAAAGCGCCCTCTGGTAGGGTTTCGAGGCTTAGGATTTTGGTTAGGCTTCACGCAGGTGTTCTAGAAGAAAGAAGATGGAATTGTCATGGTCACACTAGCTGCTTTTCTTCTGATACGAACCCCCAAACTCTACACCCTTCATGAGACTCGGTGGAAACCTCCTCTGTCCTCGTATAGAGGTTTAGGGTTTAGGGTTTGGAGAGGTGCCCTAAACCCTAAACCCAAAAACCTAAACCCTAAACTCTAAACCTCGACCCTGTCCTCCTAAGAGACTTCTTGTTCTGAAAGTCGTGGAGGTGGCCAGGCTGTTGGTCCAGGCCGAGTGCAACATCAACTTGTGGCTTGCTTTGTAGGGTTCAGGGTTTAGGGTTTAGGGTTTAGGGTTTAGGGGTTTAGGGGTTCATTGTTTAGGGTTCAGGATTCAGTTTGACTAAACCCTCACACCCCAAACCCCTAAACCCTAAACCCCCTAAACGGCCTAAACCCTAAACCCCGCCGGCACTCTCGGTTTATCTTGGGCTTCGGGGACTTCCTCAGCGGCCCCGTATCCTGCAAGTTAGGCTCCTGTACGATTTTGGATCAGGTTTTCTTGGGGCTTGAAAGAGGGTACCTAAACCCTAAACCCTAAACCCTAAACCCTAAACCCTAAACCCTAAAGATCCCGTCCGAACGCCAGCGGGCGTCTGGAGACCCATCCTCTTTTCAGGGAGTTCTCTCAACTTAGCCTTGACACCCAAAATCGAATCCCTAATATAGAGACCCTACTTGGAGGCCCAGGGAACTTAGTAAGTAGGTTATAAGTAGAGTTATAAGTACCCTAAATGGAGTTAATTACCCCAATTATAACCCTACTTATAACCGACTTACTAAGTCCCCTGGGCCTCCAAGTAATGATGTTCCTTAAAGGGTTCTATAAGGGTTACTATAAGGATTTAGGGTCTAGGGGCTTTGATAATTCGAAGAGGGTTTGGGGTATATTATATTATAATTATAGTAAGGAACCCCCAAGACCCTATTCTGATTATTAAGGCCCCTGCGTTACACGAACCCGTGAACTATCAGCCCGAAACTCCTGAGCCTTGACACCCAAAACCTAAACCGTCCACAAACCCTCAACTTTCAGGGTTAAGGGTTTAGGGATTTCGGGTTTAGGGTTTAGGGTATAGGGTTCAGGGTTAGGGCCTACAGGGATTTAGGGTTTGGGGTCTACGGAGCCCGAAACTCCTGAGGCAGTGCCGTGCGGGTGGGTTCTGGCGTCTTGTCGAGATGGCTTCGCGTTGCTACCTTCAGCTGGAAGCCGGAGCTCTGCCAGCTCGTAGCCGCAGTGTCCCTTGGTGCGCTTGGTCTGAGTTCTTGTTAGAAGTAGTAGTATTAGTAGTAGTA